ATTCCTTTTTCTAGAGATGCTTTTGCTACATGTGGCAGAGTCTCAAGAAATGACGACTCGTCTTTTTAGATTTGTAACGTTGATAATTCTGGATTTTAAGGCTCAAATTTCGATGGTGAACTGTGAACACTTTTACTGATTTGCTTAGCTGAAAAAGTTTCTAAGACTAAGGTATGATTGGTGAAAAAAAAAGGCCCTTTAAATATTTTGTGAATTGATTAAAGCTTAGCAGCAAATATCTGTACAGTGTTTTTTCCTTCTATAACCTTAAACCACATTGTTGAATCAGTTAATAGTTTTCCCTGAACATTTTAAATAACACACAGCGATAACTTATTCCTGTAGTTTAAAAGATTACAGTAATCTGTGGAATGATTGAAGAGCATTCTTTCTTCTACATATTTTTTGCATGGCAGTTATGTAATCTATTACAGCTTTCAATAGGAATCTCTTCTTTCAATGTTATAACATAGATTTATTACCAGTCATGTCCAGCTTGAGTTAAAATGACTGATTGCGATTGTATACTTTAAGATGGCAAATTAACGTGAGCTTTATATTTCTATAAACATTTACGAAGCAGAAATATTGTGTAAAACATTGTGGTTCTTTAGATTATCATTAATTCCTGAGCCTTGGTCACGCTAAAATTCAAAGTCTTATACAAAGCTCTTTGGATAAAATGAACCAGGGTCCAATTTATTAATTTGAGATGAGTTAAGCGAAGATTGATAATGTTGATGGATATATTGCTGATCGTACCAATTTTGAGTGTCTTAAAAACGTATCTAAGTACGTGATTATACTTGGAAGTATTTCAGGTTTTTTTCGCTAATTTTCTATTTCTCAATGTTCAGATGAAACTGACAAAAAAAGAAGAGCTCTTCCATCACAAAATTAAGATTTTTTGCAACTTACATGCTATTTTAAGAGCCTGAGGTATTGTTATAGAGATATAAAGTTATTAAAAGCTGACAAGAAGGATAATGAGTTTGAGATCCCTGAAGAACATTGGCTGGTGAAAAGATAAACTGGTATTATTATACTGGTGTTAGAATATTGATTGTTCTCTTACTCTGTTTCTTCACATCATTATTACAAGATTGAATGGAAACAAAACAGACTACTATCAGATCTCATGTTTTTAATTTATCTATCTCAGACAATGGAATGAATGAAAGGAAGAATGAATCAAGAAGTGTTGGAGTTAATTAAGTCTGTAAAAAAAGAAACTTAATTATCTGTTTTCTCAAAGAGAAATACCTTTTTATAATAACCTTTTTTGACTCTGTTAAGGTTTTGAATCAAGCATATGATGTCATTTAAAATATCCTTACAATTATAGGAATGGCAACTTTAAGGAGGCTCAATTGACAGAATTTGAGATCAACTAGATGTTCAATAACTGATAGCAACAGAATCTACAAGATCAACTTGATGTTCAATAACTGATAGCAACAGAATCTAAGATCGACTAGATGTTTAATAACTGATAGCAACAGAATCTAAGATCAACTAGATGTTCAATAACTGATAGCAACAGAATCTAAGATCAACTAGATGTTTAATGACTGATAGCAACAGAATCTAAGATCAACTAGATGTTCAATGACTGATAGCAACAGAATCTAAGATCAACTAGATGTTCAATAACTGATAGCAACAGAATCTAAGATCAACTAGATGTTCAATTACTGATAGCAACAGAATCTAAGATCAACTAGATGTTCAATAACTGATAGCAACAGAATCTAAGATCAACTAGATGTTCAATGACTGATAGCAACAGAATCTAAGATCAACTGGATGTTCAATGACTGATAGCAATTGACAGAATTTGACATCAACTAGATGTTCAATGACTGATAGCAATTGACAGAATTTGAGATCAACTAGATGTTCAATGACTGATAGCAATTGACAGAATTTGAGATCAACTAGATGTTCAATGACTGATAGCAATTGACAGAATTTGAGATCAACTAGATGTTCAATGACTGATAGCAATTGACAGAATTTGAGATCAACTAGATGTTCAATGACTGATAGCAATTGACAGAATTTGAGATCAACTAGATGTTCAATGACTGATAACAACAGAATTTGAGATCAACTAGATGTTCAATTACTGATAGCATCTGGTGGCATGTGGAAGAATCTGATTCAATGCTATATTTAGTTGAACAGAATGCACTAACAACTGACTGACACCAGACGCCAGTTGCTCATGTTCTACTTTCTGTAGCTGTTCAGATTGAATCTTGAAGTCAACTTAAGCTCCCAAAATATGCACCCATCCAATTGATGGCAGTTGCAAGCAGTTAATTTGTCAAGATAAAGGCTTTGCTCAAATTGACCGAGACACACCTTTTATTTTCTACTATGAATGCCACCCTACTGGCCTCATACTGTTTCTTGGTACAGTGAGTAGATTCTGAATCTTTCTCTTGCTGACTTTCATCTTATTACTTATCAAGATCAAGTGTCACACCATCCCATTCCTTGAATTAACCAATTGTCTGATCTATAAGCAAGTGTTGGACAAACTGGATAATGAATATAAGTGGTTATATTAAATAATTAGATTGTTGATAAAGGTAAAGATGGATGATTTAGAGATTGTTGATAAAGGTAAAGATGGATGATTTAGAGATTGTTAATTGAGGTAGATAGAAATGAGATGTTGATAGAATAGGTATTATTAATAGTTGATAGCCAAGTATTCTATTATTGATATCATTCATTAAGTGGTTTTATTGTATTGTGACAGGCAATTAACAAATTGTTCCGCTATAGAAACAACCACTATGTAGTTTTTTTAACAATAAAGGAAGCACCATGAAGTATAATAATATTGATAAGTGATCAGTTTTAAAGCAGCATATTTTGAATTTTTGAAATTGATGACACATTCTGGTATTGAATTCTGCCAGTTGGGATGGCATGAAGTGTTTTTATAGGTTGTTTAGGATGTGTACATTAATCTAATTATGGTAATATCGGGCTGTCCGGCAACCCTAATCCTAATTAAAATCCATTTTAATGTCTACAACTGCCCAAATTAAAGTCTAAATTTCCTGATTTTTACCCTAGATAAGCCCTGAAATTTCTTAATTTAAGCCCTTAAAATTAACCCTTTTGACAATCTGTAATATAAAGAGTTGAAATGGTTTGATGTATGATTTTTCTGTTCCTGAAGCTGATACTTCATAATATCTAGAACCCTATTTACCTGAAAACATATTGTAAATTACAATCATGATTAAATTTGGAACATGGCTCTTGAAATTTTGATAATGTTGATGCTTTCTCAATATTAACTTCTAGTTTTGATATCACATATTGTAACTGCTATATCATCTTGCCTTAAGCTCATGTACAATATTGAGTCTTAATTGTCAAGAATTTGTCTAGAAAATGTCTTATAAGCTTATAGATTATAGCATGTTTTCATTTGGTAACTGATTTAATGATGTGCCCTACAGGTTGTAACATTAATGAGGGAATTAATGAAAACTGTGATGTTAACCACAAGAAAGGAAAACTCATCCTGTTATCTAATCTTTATAAGGGATACTGTTGTATAAATGAATAATTGTTATCTCAGTAACACTTTATGGTACAAGCCTAGGTCTGAACCAAATACTATTCCTGTTATTCCTATATATTTTTACATAGTTTTAACAATGATGAACAAATTTTGGTGGTGCCAACTTGTTGGCAGAAAGAGCTGCTTTTTATAAATGTTCCTACTGTGCCTATATGAAAAATGAAAAAGGGGCACTAAAAAACTAAATATCTACATGTCAACTTAGCTTGAACTTATTTACTTAGCAAAGCATAGTAGCTTTCTAGCTTGAAGATTCAGGGTTCAATCTCTACATATGTCAAGATTTTTCAAACTTTACAGATCAGATAGTCTGACAAAGAATTTTTGATTGTGATCCTGTGTACTACAAGTTGATCATTCCTTTACAGGTGGAAACGAAGAAGGAGTGGATGTTTCCTTATTGCACACTGCTTATGATGACTTTTACTCTATAATAGAACAAAAAATAGAACATTAAACCTTTCAACTAGAAAAACTGGAACAGATTTTATATAACCTGAAAACTAAATACTACATGTAAATTGTAATTCAGTCTGATAAAAGATTTTTGTGTGAGGGTTTAAGATTCAGACGGGATCAAAGATAATCTGATTACTGTTATTAATATTATTTTATATAGAGTCCGTCTGATATAGAAATTACAGATATACCAAAAGTTAATCAAGAAAAAGATTGTTTCTTTAGAGATGGAGTTAGAAAAACAGGTCAGTTTTTTGTATGGTATTATATCGGATGAACACAGCACATCAAAGACTGTAAATAGTGTGTGCTAATCACTTATATTAGGCTCTTGGGCCCTGGATCAAGAAGAATACTTCAGTCAAATTCAGATTAAAGTTTTGTTTTTTGCTTAAAATGAAGATCAAGACACATCACATCATATCATATTACATTGTTAAACTAGTGATACATTCATTGAGCCATTGCTTAGCTAAAGTCTGGCACAGAATTCATCCATGCGCTTCTACTATCTGCTTAGAGGTAAATTTATCTACATATATGCGTAGTCATGTGAACATTCAAAATGGCTGTGCCCTGCGAAAATTGCCATTTTGAATTAAGTGACTACGCATGTTTAGATAAATTTACCTCTAAATAGATAGCTTTAATTACGAGCACACACAAGCATTTGTTTTATCAAACCTGTTTGATTTTCAACTTTTTGCCACGAATGACTGACATCTTACAAAAATTTACATGCAGACGGAAGCAGAAGTGCACAAAAGTCGTTTCATGAACTGTTTTAAGTTTGTGTCGTAGCTGAGACATAAAATTTCTCTTATTGTACACTGCAGGTCCTGTTTAATTCTAAAAACTTATGGAGAAATAAAAATGATTTTAACTTTGTTACATGTGAAACAGTCATGTAAAAAGCTTCCTGTCTATTTCAGATTTCATTGTTGCCTATGAAGAAGTATTGGAGAAAGGTAAAATTAAACCTGCACAAGAAAAATATAACCAATGGAGACAGAAATTCTTTAAAAATCTTGAAAAGGCTGGATTGGAGTTGGAAGAGGTGAGAGAATCACTTTGTTCATTTTGTCTGTTAAAAATACTGAAATGTCTTGAATTTCACCACTTGTTTCCTGATTCGTTTACACTAGGAAGGATGAGGTACGTCTATCAACTCATCAGCAGGCTTACTTACCATCATCATTTCTGTGTTGGTTGTTTTGGTCCATATACAATAATTCTATGCCATACTAACCTCCCCCTCCATTATTGTTCCTGCTGAAAAACCTGATACCACTTAAAAATTGAGTCAGTTGGATTGACCTCCCAAGAGTTATTTATAATTCTGTGTTTGAAATGATTTTGGAAAATGTTTACAATTCTTCAATTCAGGAAGTATTGGAAAGTGAGAAAAAAATAATAAATTTTGTGAAACTACATGCACCGTGGGATGTTGCTTGTGCTTACGCAGAAGATTTAGGTCTACAAGCTCCTTTGCAGGTAACCACTTTTACTATCTGAGAGATCAAATCTTCTTTTTTCTTAAAAAAAATAGATTGTCCGCCATAAAAGTTGTAGGAAGTTAGTGACATGATGGTGGAAATTTTCTGCTTTCTGGACTATACCATGGATTCAGAATTGGAACATTGTTTTGGTCCTATTTCAATTTCAAGTAGCAGAAGTGTGGACTGACTTGTTTTCCTAAATACTCAACTGTGATATGAATATTTACCTTATAATTAACTTTTATTATTATTATTATTATGCCACCCACTCTAATAGAAATGTGAAGGAGTTTATAATGTAGGTAGTTATAACCATTTCACCAGTTTCATTTCAACTGGTATTTCAATACTTTCAAAACTTAATCTAGAGAAAAACACTTGAACATCAGTGCTAATCTTGACAATCACAATATAGTAGATTTCCATTCTGCAATTTGTGCATGACCTCAAGCACCTTTCATCAATGAAAATTCAGAATTATCAAAAGCACAATCCTTTCAGTACTGCAGCCTACAGCTCCTCCCTACAGAGAGGAAAATTTATAGCTTATGATACTGAAATCCATCTTGTGTTCATCATTTATTATGCAGCTATAATATCTGACAATCAGTCCCTAAGAGTTCAAATGATGATAATTTGACATTAACCTGTGTTGTTGATATTTTCAGGCCCATCCTAACCCCAGTGATAATTGGTCAGAGAAGTTAATACGATTCTTTCATATACCCAATATATTTGCACATGATGTTCCCAATAAACCACTAGACTTTTATACCTGTAGATTTAAAAAGTCAAAATTAGACAGGTAGGTTACTTTCCAATTAAAAATGTTTGAAAAACTCTTCTTCATATGTGTGTATATATATATATATATCAGTTTGCATATGCGTTAGTGATAAATGTATATATCTGTACAGTATAGTCCACCCTTATAACAGGCCATTCTATTCATTTATTTGTTTTGATACTCTTAAAAGACAATTTTCAGTTTCAATTCAAGATGTGTTTTGATTTGTGTTGTTATGTGTGTTTTGATTTGTGTTATGTGTGTTGTTATGTGTGTTTTGATTTGTGTTATGTGTGTTTTCAGATGTATCTTATGATATGGTTCATGTGCATATTATTTAAATTTAATTAAAATAATTTCAAAACCTGATAAAATAAAGGGTTTTGTGGTTTGTGTGCCCTTTATTAAAGAGACAGTGCCATTTTTGGGGGTTGATTTGAGTCTTGAATAAATAGTCTTCAGAAGTACTAGAAATGTATGAAAAACGCGTAATTATTTCAAAAATATCTCAAACTAGGAATTTCTTTCCTTATTTCTATAGAGGTCTTTTTTATACATGACAGTGTGTCAAAAAATAGACGACTTGTCTGTTTAACTTTCAAACACAGATAATTCTTTTTAAATTGTAAACACCTAAAAGCTTGATTTTTGACAGAACTTGGAATGGTGATATTGTTCAGTATTTCCCCAAAAAGTTCAAAAGAAGTGTATGACTGAAGGTTGAATATTTCATACTGGTAATTGTTACTGTACTATCAAATATTTTTATTTATGATCAAAGCTGCCAGAGGACTTATATTACCTTGTCTTAAATGAAATACTTTCAGAACATGAAATGGCTGAAGGTTGTGATGAAAGTTGAAATTTGCAAGTCTGGCATGTAGTCATGCATATAATAGTATACTGAAGATAAGATGACTGCTTTTATATATTGATTTGAAATGATTCGAGTTTCATCATTTTAACCTTTTCTGGTTAGATCAAAATCTTTAATTTCCATGACAACTCATCCTTCAGTGTTCACTGTTGCATATGATTACATGTTTTACATTAGATGTGTGTGACAGGTTCAGTGTAAAGTGGAATTTCTTCTATTTAAAGTTCATTCTTGCTTCAACAATTTCAATTTTAAAGAACAAAATTCATAAACAATGGTACAGATGTTTTTTGAAAAATAATGTTAAAGTTTCTGCCTATTAAATTTCCTACTTACTTATACCTTGACTGCATTTGTAACTTCTTTTGTATCACAGGATGCTGCGATTTGTTTGGATTATACATCAGTGAATACAGCCAATCAGAGCCTTATGACTTATTGTTTACAGTCTTTCTGTCAAGGATTCTGATTGGCTGAATGTGCTGACATAACAATCCTAATCAAATTGCTGCATTTAAACACTTTCCTGATACAAGAAAAATTACTATTACGGTCAAGGTATTAGATGGAAGTTTATTATGAATGCTGAAGGAAATTCTTAGGTTAAAATCTATTAAAAGATGTTAATTAATCAATAATGATGTACTGAAACAGCATATATAAATGAAATAATAATGGAATGAGGTAAATTACTTAATGAATAATTCACGGACAAATTAACTTTGGTCTGGTAAAATAATAAATTAAACCAAAAGTCAGACAAATTGATGTTAACATTCAGGAGTTCTCACTAGCAATATAAAACAGTGCACTTTATACCTTTCAAGATGGGTTATCATGTATCAGGGCGCTGCACTTTGTTGCAAAAAATCTTCAATGGCCACCAATCCATGCTATCTGAAATAGACTATATAAGGCAAACACCAACTCACCAAGGTAGTGATGGGCATATGATCTGGATTTTGAAATTGATTTCTGTATTGGGCTATAAAGTATCTATGTGCTGTTTAGGGCAGGAGCTTCAATTAGAATGAATACGGTATGTGTTGAAACAGCATATTAGATTATGCTCAATGAAACAGCATTTGAAATCATAATGGAATGAGCTAAATTAAGTAATGAATAATTCACGGACAAATTAACTTTTGGTCTATCACGTGTATCATAAAATAATAAATCAAACCAAAAGTCATATGAATTGATGTTAAATCTCAATATTTTTTAGAGGTAATCTCATTCCCATTGTTTCACAAAATAACCATTGTTTTTTTGCTGTCAAAAGTTAATCTTCATCATAAACATATAAATATCGTATCACAAATACAGGCTTTGACATGATCTTATTAACCTGAATTAAACTTAGCCTCTATACTTTTTTTTGTGGGCGTGGATATGAGATTAGTGCTATTTAAATCTGACCAATCAGATCAGTAGAACAGAAATGAGGTCATATAAACAAAATACAGCATCTCTTTGCCGCTGCCCATTTGAACACATTCTTTCCAAGTTAATATTCCAAAGTAAGGATTGATTTTCTCTCGGCTTCAATTCTTTACCGAAAATCTTGCATAATTCTATACCGTACATATTAATCAAAATATGTAATGGCACGTTGCTTATAAAAATATGTAATGGCCCGTTGCTTTCTTTTTGTTTACGTTAAATTAAAGTGATTTGTTATGGCTATAATTTTGCCACAATACAATAGGGCCAATTTTGATTGGACAATATAATTTTTCCCACTTGTATTACCACAGCTTGAGGAAGTATGACGAATAGGGGCGTGGTTTGGAAACAAGATATTTTGTCAATTGTTGCCTAGAATTTAAGAAACATCCAGCATAAATGAGTCTGTATAAATCCTATTTGATACATGATGTGTTTTATTTGTTTAATGTCTGCACATTGATATTTATTGAAATGATAATGGTTTGAGTTAAATTACCTTCTGAATAATTCACAGACCAATAATTCAAATACAGAGCATTTAATTACAAGTTATAGATCTCTATAGCATAGAGATCTATAGTTTATATCTATACATATATGAATAGAAAGTAGAGGTGTTCTAATGACTTGGAAAAATACCAGTTTGTCTCACATGACCATAATTCATTTATAGTTAGCTAAATTAGAAGAGAATTACCAGACTGTTCATTTATGATTGATTAAAATGCTTAATTATATGCAATAAGAATATAATGATATGATTAAGAATACATGATAATTCATTAGAAACACCAATTAATCCAAAAAATTTGTTAATTTGACACTAAAAAATAAGGAAACCTATCTTTAACATAAAATGAAAAATTGAAGAAAAACATATCCTGGAGAGGGGTTTCATATACCAATTAACTTCAAGCGAAAGGCCTGAGAACAAACTAACTAATACTAAAACTTATACTAGCCTAAAAAGAAATGGAATGTCATGTAGTGATTTAAATGTAATGTATTTTATTTAAATGTTGGAACTGAAAACTATTAAGATAGACCATGACTGCCACAAAACTGCTGAGTGCCAAAAATACTTACTTGAATAATAAAACTTAAATATACAGGTTAAAACAAGAACAAGAACTATACATTAAACTTACCTATAAACTAGAGCAAATCCAGTTGAAAACACAAATATAAAAAAAACTTCTGATTGTAAAGAGAATGTCTTTACAATTCAGAAACTAAATATCTTATAATAGTAAAAATGCATAAAGAAAGACAGAAAGTAAGGGGAGTCTGGGTAAACAAACCAGAAACCATGGTAGAGACCAATGGAAAGAAAGAAAGAGTGAGTGAGGGAAGAAATGATCTCACTCAGATGAATAAGAAAGTAGGAAAGAAAGAGTGAGTGAGTGAGGGAGGGAAGAAATGATCTCACTCAGATGAATAAGAGAGGAGAGAAAGAAGGTAGGTGAACTGTGCTACAGTGTTAGTTAGTAAACATGATCAATAATTAAAACCTGGATAAAAATTAAGCAATAACATATACACCTAAAATATAGCTCTTTTACATTATCACTCTGATGTAACTCAGGATAAGGTAAGGATAATAATGAGACTGATGTAAAGTCACCATAAGTGCCCTGGTATTTTCTATAAGCTGACAGATATTTAGTAGTATTGATGTTCCAAATAGAAGTAACCAGAGCATGCCTCATAGATGTCCTCCATCACAGTTGTACCTTAGAATGTAGCTGGGCTAGTTCAGGGGGGAAGCGAGCTCAGTTGTTATATCAAAAACGATAACTTTAATAATAAAATTTTTCTTTTTTTTTTATACACCTCTCATACAAAATATAGTTTCCCAGAAAGACAATTACCCAATAAAATACCAAAACACACATACCTGTGAAGTTATTAGAAGACAATAACTGGTGATGAAAAAGAATAAAGAAGTAGATAATCAGTATTTCAAGGAGGTTGAAATATACTTCCTTCTTCTTTAAAGACTTAGGTAAAGGTAAAGTTTCTGACTGGACAGGTGATGAAACTCACTAAAAATTCACTCAGTTGGCCAATGACAGAAGGTGACAAGGTCCAGTGAGATCAGTTAAGTTAAAGAGACTAAGAGAGGGCAATAATTAGTTAATAGTATAAGGCCAGTGTAATGTAATTAGGTGTTTATAAAAACAGTAGTGGTGTATTTAGAGAAGATAACAAATAAATAAAACAACCAAGTTTCTTTAAAAATACACCCTATCACAAGATAGCCTGAAATAGTTGCACAGTTCTTATACTGATAATCTTGACAAATATATAGATTCTAGTGTGAAAAACAGTAATTATTATGATCATGTATGGGAATTTAATACTATATATTAATAATGATACTGATGACAAAATGTCAAGGCTGTCTTTGATCTACCTGTAAATTATAGATTGAGAGCGTTATATTAAAATCAATAGTGTAATATGATGAATTCTTATCAAATTCTACTTAAAGAGACGGTTACAAATACAATGGTGTTCAAATATGCCTTGCAATTGATAATCTTTAATAAATATCTGGAATTGACAAAAGCTTCTCTCATACTACAGACATGGGACTAAAAGCATTCCCTGCAAGAAATCTATGCACAGTTGAAAGCAGTTAGGATATTTGCTAAATACAAATACAAATATTAATGTCATCTATATTAATAAAGATAGAATTTACCTGAATTTTCATTTATAAGTTAAAGCTTGAACATCAATGTTTGAGAACAATCAGGTCGTTGTTTCAGTTGAAAAATCACATAGTTTGAGCTGCAAAGAAATTTGTACATCAACATGGCTAGATATAAAATATTACATTAAGAGTTCACTTAAAGAAAGGGTTCAAATTATATTGTGTGGACCAGAGGAATAGTCCAGAACTGGGGACACGTAACAATTTCATCAGATCGTGAATGGCAAATGGAGAAAACAGGAAAAACATAGAATGAAAAGTCCAGATTTGCATTTAAAAGAGATTGAAATAAAGTATGACTGAAAGAAAATTGTATTGAAGATTTTCCTTACAGGATATTTAAAAGTCAACTGTGACTGTGACAAGTGTACGTTATATGCCTGGAGAATACCGGAATAATAAAGAGTTTTACATTCCATAGTATTGGAATTATTCACAGAATTCAAAGACAGTCTTCTTCTTGTATTACACTTGTGATGAAAGAATACTATGACATTGAAAGATTTAATTATTAAGAGGTTTTTACTTTATATAATAATAGACTTGAAGACTCTTAAGATCAAAAAATTTCAAGCATGGTTCAGACAGTGTTCTTTGGCTTAAAGAGCAGTTCAACTTTCATCATGTAGTTTCCCATTACTATGCCTGAAGTTTCTATCACAGTCTTTCTTTCTTGTCATCTTTTTACTTACAATGAAAACTTACACATTAAGAGATTGTGTGTGCATCAATTTGCACCATTCCAAGTTTCATTCAGACACCTGTGGTTCCTGCAATTCCACTCAAACTAAGTATTAGATGATATGACTAAAAAAAGAGAGGCCCTTTGATATTGATACAAATAAAATTTGTAGAAAACCTCTTTACAATCAATCAGTGTAATTTGGGAGCCTCAAAAGCTCAGTGAGTTAGACGCTTGCTAACCTGAAGGTCCAGGGTTCAATCCCGGCATAGGTCAAGATGATACCTTCGTTTTTTTTTCAACCCGGTTTCCCCCTGTCGGTGATGTAGGCAAGAGGAGATGGTATGGAAAAAGTCGTTCGGATGGGACAATAAACCTAGGTCCCATGTGCTACAGGCTGTACATATTAAAGACAGTTGGAAATCGAAAAAGAGCAGGCTAATGCCGCTGTCTTGTACTCTCATGGCATTGTCCGTCTTCATTTGCCCACATGACGTAAAACTCTATTCATTTCATTTCATTTTAAATAAGTAATTTAAGATCAGCCTGATGTGAAAAGGTGTTAATTTGCTCTGAAGTGTAGTCGTAAGGCTGAGAAAATGTCCATGAAAGTCTGAGTAAGAGACATTTGATAGAAACTAGGGAAGTGTGTAGGATTTTTAGAAAAAAAAAAACATATTGTGATACAAAACATTTTAAAACAAAATAACAAAACACAATAATTCAATTTTTCTACACTGTTTCAACAATTTACATCAGATCTATCATAATGTATTATCTATTACCAGATTCAAAGACTTCATTTTGTGGCTGGGAGAAAAAACATTGAATCAAACTGAGTTAGACTTTTTATCTCCTGAAAATCTTCTCTCTTTAATTAGACTCTTGTCTCCAAGTTTATGCTACTCAAAGTGTCCATTTGTCAATTGAAATAGCTCAATGGAAATGTTTTTACTCCTTCTTCACAACTTTGAATAGAAATCTTTAATTAAGAGGTAAAAATGGTCTATAAATTCTTAGAAATGTGTCATGTGGAATGGTTAAAATGGGGATAATGGAATTTTATTCAATTTATTGACATGTCTTTTGTATGTGGCGTTTTCCCTCCAGATTTTCATGAAAAATTTCATCTCAAAATAAAGTTTTAAAACGGATTAGACATCTTGGAACTTAATGAAAAATTTCAAACATGAGGATACTTTCAATGAGAAAAAAGACCCCAATGATTTGAAGTTCTTAATAACATCTTATTTGATTTTCAACCCAGAAATAATCACAACTTTAACCAGATTAAGAAAACGCTATGTATTTGACAAAAGAATTATATTTTTTTTTTTCTAAAGGTCAAGATCCTTTCAACTAAAATAAAAATAATTATTGACTATGAAGTTAATAAAATTGCAGAGACCCGCTATTTCATGGCCCAATACAATGCCATAATCTCACCTGCCAGACTTATCAAAATGGCTGCCTCCATGAACTAGCGATTTCAAAGGGTTTTCCACTCGAAATACTTGAATATTCATTATAGATTAAAAACTAATCCTTTAACTTGCCAATGAATATATATATCCATTATTTTTTATAATAGCAATATTATATATTAAACTTTGAAACATAGATTTATTTGTCAAGGGGGAGATTTGATTAAAATTGACTCCCCTTAAAATAAATCTTTGTCAATGCAGTAAGAAAATATACAATTGTATTTTGATTGTTGCAGATTTATTGATCCCCAAGCCCCAATGAGGTTTGTAAAATAGATTGTTTCAAACTTGGATGATTTATGATTGTTAGTTGTGTTATTGTATTTTACTGTTATTTGTTGCATTTGTGACTTTTCTATTATTAATAGTTGAATATTTGAATTCTATTGATCTTATAATGCCAATATATTCCATTTATTTATCAAATAGAGTGCAGACTGTTGCTCATTTGATTAAAGTGTTGAAATCTTAATAACCTCTGCTTTTTGGTGAGAAAGTCTGGTAATCTAGAAAATTGATTTTAAATTCAGGTTTTTTTTTATCCAATCAGATTAGAGTAATAGCAGTAACAGGATGCAGTTGATAACTGTTTTCAAGATTTCAAATCTCTTCATATTTATTATCAAAAACTTCTTAAATTATAAATATAACTTTTATTAGTTAAAACTTTCAGATACATTAAAGGGACACATTTCTCTAGATTTTGATGTGTAGTTTTCACATGTTTGAGTATAAACATTTTTTGACTCCAATGTCCCTTTAAGACTGCAAAGTCTGCATGTACTAAAACTCTAGAATATAAATTATGTATATAAGTATCCATTTTGACATGAAGAATTACACATGTTTTTAGATTAAGAGTAAGATTCTTAGTTTTTGTGTCAGCTTAATACATGTATGTTATTTTTAAAAATGATAACTGAATATGTAGAACTTGTACCAGATTAAAAAACACTTTCTAGTCTTATTATTTGATTGGTTAAATATTAAATGACCTAGAACAGGAGATGCATAATAATTTTGTCAGATCATGGATCAAGTTGAGTCACCCAGAGAAAAAACAGAAGTTTTGCATTTGAAAGGATTCTGGTCTCCATTTGAATATTGAAATGAATGTTTGTTTGGGATAATATTTGCAAATTTATACAATATATATGTTTAAATTTTGGTACATTTCAGATTTTTAGGAAATGAAGACCATGATGGTTTTTTCTCTAACACTCAACGAAGTTTTTTAGTATGGGAGATCATGTGTTCTGCGACATATGGTAAGAAAAAGAAAGCAGAAGTAGGAATTGAACGCCTGTTAGAAGAGAATGTGATAACAGCTGCTTATTGTTTACATGATGTAAGTTTTCTACCCCGTCTGTGTTTCTGGGCAAGATTTTCACTTGATTTTGGGGTGATTTTTGGAATCAGAAGTTTCTGTGGATGATAACCAGTCAAAATCAGGTGGCAGAGACTTTGAATATGGTTTTGAACTACATGTAACTATTTCTCTCTCTGCTCTGCTCAAGTTTCATGTTCTTGTGAAAGGATGGTAAAATCATTACATCTTTCTGAAATTTAGCAAAAACTTTGAAAACTCGAAATACTTATATTCCTGCCTAGAAACTAAGCTACAATAAAACTCAGAATGTGAACTACAAATTTGTATGGTTGCATTTGGTGTTTGTCTGATATTATTGAGTTTAAGCCTCTTATATTGAAATATTGCTTCAATATCTTTCATTACACACAAGGCACTCCAACATCCTTCCATATTTTAATAACTGACTTATTTCCTGAGTAACAGTTTATTATTCCCTGGAAGCCAGGCAAAGTAAAACTTGTCGTCTGAGGTAGAAAATGATGTTGACATTTTGAGTGATTAAGTTTGTCTTAAGGTAGCCTATGAAAGACATTGTTATACAATACTTGGAAATAGAGTCTACCTTTCAGGCTTTCAGTTCATTACAGAAGTTTCTTTTACTTTTATTACAGACACATTTAAATATTACACAGTAGAAAGATTTTTAACAAAGTTTAGTAGTCTATATTCCAATTCAATGTCTGAAATTCTTTTTTATTTCATTGAATGGACATTGTTCAGGTTTCTCTACCACATTACTAGTAACATTTGTTGAAACATTAAACAATTAGAAGTTTTAACTTATATTCTATTTATAAATGCTATCAGTTGTATTTTTAAATGGGGTGAGGGGCAGGGGGAGAAGAAAAGAGACTGTCCTTGATTTTTACCCCCTTCATTTCAAATTTCTTACGATTGAGTTTTTATAAGCCCAAATCTCTCTATGTGGACGTATATTGTCAGCACCCCCGTCTGTCAGTCCGTCCGTCAACATTTGCTTGTAAACGCTCTAAAAACTCGATTTTTTGATGGAATCAAATGAAATTTGGTATGTGTATACATATTCATAGAACAAAGATCAAGTTCAAATTTGAGCAAATTTGAAGCAGAGTTATTGCCCTTGCCCAAAAATCTTGAATTTTTACCATCCGCATGCCATGGTGGGCATATATGGCTGTGGTTCACTATCTTTAAATCGTTCTGTGAGTACTCCTTGACAAATCTGTGGCCCGTACTTGACACATACTGGCCCATTCCATTGAAAGTACTTCTAATTTTCAAATATGCTCAAATTTGAATTTGAATTTTTGACTGGATACAATTGTCTAAAGTCAATGTACACTTGCCTAATTGGAAATCTAAATTTCAAGAAACAAGACAAAAAAAAAATGTCCATCTGGTTGAAAAGAAACACACAATATTTGAAAATCAGATAAAGCATAATGGAAATATGTTCCCTAGTGTTATCATATATAATAATATACTCAATAGTTAGATATAAGAATTTCATATGGCAAAATGTCAATATTATCTGTCACTGAAAGACAGCTCGTCTAAGAAACAAGGCTGTCAGACTTTCATTAAAAATTTGTCATGAACAGTTGATGAATGGTATTTTATGTCAAATTGTTAGGTGTTGTCTGAGGTGGGAGAAAATGTACCAATGTCTTACTATGCTATTAACTGGTTTGATATTATAAATCCTGTTGGCAACGTAATGATTTGTCTCCAACAGTTTTATCGTCTGCAAGATAGACCGTCATAATCCAATTAAATTCATTTTCCTTTTAATTACATGATCAGCATGTGACATCGACATACTTGCCTGCAAAAATCGTCAACCAGAACCCCTTGTGTGTCCGCACCATTAAGTTTCATGCACAGATAGCATGACAAAAGTGAATAGATACAAATAGATTTAATAACTTGCTAGTAACCAAATTTTATGACTCCCTATAATTTCATAGGCATGAAGACCTATGTTATATATTTATATAGAATCATTGGATAATATATTCATCATCTTTAACAAAAATAAAAGTAGAATTGGATTATTTTATATCCTTTATATAAAGACAACTGGACAAATTGGCTTTGTGTAATGTTATTTACTTGCACGCTTATTTTGTGGTTCAGATAAATAGAGAATATAATGGTGGAATGAGAAACAAAAAAAGTTGATGTCACTATCCTGGCAAAATTTTCTTTGCTGTAATCTTTATGATATTGTCCATTCATTTATATAATCCAAATTAGGAGCCGACTGTTAGAATTCCATTTCATTTCATTTTCATTGATCTTATATTATATAATATGTAATGAATAATGAATATTTCAGGGTGGCTATACATTACCTACCCATTATGTGGACCAAACAACTTTAAATAAACGTCAAGTTTTATATCAGTACTGGGCGCGCTGGGGTGTCTGGTACAAATATCAACCTCTAGATCATATTAGAGAATACTTCGGGGAGAAAATAGGAATTTATTTTGCTTGGCTAGGTAAGTAACCATTAGCTGTAACATAGCAGACCTAGTTTTAAAAGGAATACTACCTCCGTGAAATTGAAACTCTCAGACTTGGCCAATAAGAGTACTGGTATATATTCATCAGTGGACTTACCTGGTGTCAAACCTGTATATATGACAATATATCTATTAAAATAATTATTGAATAACCCTTTATTTTGTCAGGTTTTTATACAGCTTGGTTGTTACCAGCAGCCATTGTTGGGTTACTAGTTTTTATTTATGGTATTGCTACAGTTAATAATAATGTTCCTGGGTATGTTTACCTTACATTTTCAACTTTTATAGCCAGATTTATATCTATATAATATGTCATATACCTGAACATATTACATTACTATCCCTAAAAATGAAATCAGCTCTGACAGTTATATTAAGTTATCTTTGTACTGCAAAAAAGGTAACTAAGACGAAATCCTTTCTTTCATCTTCTTGGGAAACAAGATAGCAGTTCTGTTGTTATTTTATTTAATCTCAAAGCCTGTAATTGACATTATCAGTGTATCTGATAGTTATTTCTCAAACTTCAATGTCAGTTTGACATTATCAGTGTTTCAGATTATAATTTTCACACCTCACAGTAAGGTTGATATTATCATTGTATCTGATAGTAATTTGTCAAACCTCAAAGTAAGGTTGACATTATCAGTGTTTCAGATTGTAATTTTCACACCTCAAAGTAAGGTTGACATTATCAGTGTTTCAGATTGTAACTTACCAAACCTTAAATTCGGGTTGACATTATCAGTGTTTAAGATGTAATTTTCACACCTCAAAGTAAGGTTGACATTATCAGTGTTTCAGATTGTAATTTGCTAAACCTTAAAGTCAGGTTGACATTATCAGTGTATCAGATAGTTATTTGTGTAAAACCTCTAAAGTCAGGTTGTCATTATCAGTGTAGCAGATAATATAGTTAATTGTAAAACCTCTAAAGTCAGGTTGACATTATTAGTGGGACAGATAATTATTTGTAAAACCTCTAAAGTTGGGTTGTCATTATCAGTGTTTCAGATTGTAATTTTCACATCTCAAAGTCAGGTTGTCATTATCAGTGTTTGAGTAGTTATTTGTCAAACCTCAAAGTCCGATTGACATTATCAGTGTATCAGTAGTTATTTGTTAAAACCTTAAATATTTGCCAAACCTGAAAGTCGGGAGTTGTTAAAGTATGTGACAGTGGTAAGAACTATAAGATGTGTCCATTGTGTAATTTATTTGTAGAAATGAAGTATGTGACAGTGGTCAGAACTATAAGATGTGTCCATTGTGTAATTTGTTTATAGAAATGAAGTATGTGACAGTGGTAAGAACTATAAGATGTGTCCATTGTGTAATTTATTTGTAGAAATGAAGTATGTGACAGTGGTCAGAACTATAAGATGTGTCCATTGTGTAATTTGTTTATAGAAATGAAGTATGTGACAGTGGTAACAACTATAAGATGTCTCCATTGTGTAATTTGTTTATAGAAATGAAGTATGTGACAGTGGTAAGAACTATAAGGTGTGTCCATTGTGTAATTTGTTTATAGAAATGAAATATGTGACAGTGGTAAGAATTATAAGATGTCTCCATTGTGTTATTTGTTTGTAGAAATGAAGTATGTGACAGTAGTAAGAATTATAACATGTGTCCATTGTGTAATTTGTTTATAGAAATGAAGTATGTGACAGTGGTCAGAACTATAAGATGTGTCCATTGTGTAATTTGTTTATAGAAATGAAGTATGTGACAGTGGTAAGAATTATAAGATGTCTCCATTGTGTAATTTGTTTATAGAAATGAAGTATGTGACAGTGGTAAGAACTAAAACATGTGTCCATTGTGTTATTTGTTAATTTATTTATAGAAAGAAGTATGTGACAGTGGTAAGAATTATAACATGTGTCCATTGTGTAATTTGTTTATAGAAATGAAGTATGTGACAGTGGTAAGAACTGTAAGATGTGTCCATTGTGTTATTTGTTTATTTGTTTGTAGAAATGAAGTATGTGACAGTGGTAAGAATTATAAGATGTGTCCACTGTGTGATGAAGATATTGGTTGTGAATACTGGTATTTATCAGATGTATGTTTATTTATTGAGGTGGCATATTTATTCGATCATCCTGGAACAGTGTTTTACGCTATTTTTATTTCTTTCTGGTGTAAGTATACATATTTTTAAGAATATTGTGAACCCAATATAGTTTAATAAAACATAAGTTTGATTTTCTGCTGTAAAAAAGTTGCTGTAAATTTAAATGTTCGTCTTCCCTTAGAAATTAGCAACTAAGAAATAATATTTTGCATGGTGTTAATTGACTTTTTGAGCTGAAATGGAGACCAAATGTTATAAAACTCATTCATTTCAAGAAGGTTCATTTATTTCCCTTTTTTTATTTGCAGCTGTTACATTCCTGGAATATTGGAAGAGAAAAAATGCAAGTTTAGCCCATCATTGGGATGTTTTAGATTTTGAAGATGAAGAGGTTTGTATTTTTTTCTGCAACAATTGATAAAATTGTAAATTTGGCGATATCAAAAATGGATAACAAAATATACTGAAAAGTAATCCAATATGAGTCATTATGAAATCCAAACAATTTATTAAGAAAACCCTAAGATTTTGTCTGACAAAGTATGTTCTTGTTGGAAATTGATGCCCCCAGTCTCATTCGTTTGAAATTGATTCTTCTTTTTTGTCCATTTGGTATTTTAGGAGCGTCCCAGAACAGAATATGCTGCCAAAGCTCCTGAATGGAAGGAAAACCCTGTAACTGGTATCAGAGAACCTTATTTTGATCCCAGAAATCGTCTACCACGTATTTTATCTGGAATGGCTGTTCTTGTTATTATGGTAGGTATAGTAGAAAACAAGAAAGAAATTCATATATGAAACGTCATTTTAGTTTACAGCAGGTATGGCTGCTAGTGGCAACAAAATGGCGGTGCTTCGGTGTGTCATAACTTGTCTACTGGTCTTGTAACAACTAAAACAGGTAACCGGAAACAGTCTATTTTCAGTCTCCACCATTCATGTGAGGTTTCTGTAGCACAGTTGGTTGGACAACCTAATGATGGTCATTGGGTCCTGGTTGTCATTCGAAGTCTTGTGACCTTGAATAAGTCATCTTTCATCATTAGTCCATTCGACCCAACTGTAAATGGGTATGACCAAAACATTGCCATGAAGTTTGGTGAAGGACCAGCTGTTAGAGAGTATTTATTTGAACTTAAATTGTATTCTTTGTAAAAATGATTCATATTAGATTTTTCTTCAGGTTTCATGGCATATGAATATACTAACATGCAAACTAATTACTCATTATTATGTCTATTTTCAGATGTTTTTAGTCATGATATTTATTGTGGCTGTTATAATGTATCGTGTTCTAGTCAGTATACCTTTGTTTGAAAATAAAGATTTACGATCTAAAGCTTCAATGATTGCTAGTTTATCAGCTGCTGTGGTCAATTTAATCATCATTATGGCTCTGGGTCGTGTTTATGAAAAACTTGCCTTAAAATTAACTCAATGGGGTAAGTAAGTGTCGATATTAAAGAGATTGTAAAGAGGTTTTCTAAACTTTTCATGTGTATCGGCAACAACAATCAATTTGCACCATTTTAATTTTCAATCAGATTTCCGTGGTTTTTGCAATTCTATAAAACTAGCCATCTTATTACGTCACTATCGCAAAAGCTGTTATTGATATATAAAGACCTTAGCAATGGTGACGTCATAAAACACATAGTTTAAATGGAATTGCAGGAACCACAGACGTCTGATTGAAAATTGGAATGGTGGAAAATCAATGTGCCCATTTTTTGAAAACATCTTGACACATATTTAATACATTCATTATAAGCTCAAAGCTTGAATTTTGTATTTCCAATTCTCATCATATCTAACATGATGGGGTATTGTCTTTATGGCAGCTTTAGACTATGATGGTTCTAACCAACATTTCTCAAAGTTTCTGATTTTAAAATGTTTTTAATATAATTTATATTTATATTTTCAGAAATGCATCGAACACAGTCTGAATTTGAAGATCAGTTAACTTTTAAAGTTTTTATCTTTCAATTCGTTAATTTCTATTCTTCTATTATATATGTAGCTTTCTTCAAGGGCAAGTAAGTAACAAGTTATTTTGACATCTTTAATCTTATTCTAGAAAACATGATTTAAGCTAATTAAAGTTGTCTAGTCATCTGTTTGGTCAATCACAAATCAATCAATTTTAAATTTACTTTTTTTTATCCAATTTGGTGACTGTATTTCTTAAAGTCTGAATTTGATTTTAGTCACGTTTTCAAGAACTTATATTTTAATGCAATTTCAACCGAAGGTAGATATCTTAGTCTTAACAGATTTAAATTTGACTTTTAATGAAATGTACTTTGTATTTAGTTGAATCTCAAGATAGGTTCCAAGGATAAACAATATCAACATTCTTATCATTTTCTTTTGCATTTACATACAGACAAAAACATTTATTTAAAAATATATTTTCAGATTTGTAGGGTACCCTGGTCATTATAACAGATTTTTTGGTCTCAGAAGTGAAGAGGTGAGACACTCAATGGCTGTATCTTTTACAAACATAAAGGAATGCTTGATATATACGTACTGATTGGTTGTTTATCACGCACTGAGATATTCTTTACCAAATTCAACAATAGGATGTGTATGTTAAAGACCCCTTGACAGTTGGAAATCAAAAAAGAGCAGACTGGCAAAATTTCCCTCATTGCACCCTGCATGGCATTGCCCGTCTTCATTAGCCCACATGGTGTAGAAAAGGACATAAAACTCCATTCATTTCATTTCTTTGCCAAATTCAGACTAGAATATTACATTGTGATAATCTCTGTCTTGACATATTCCTTTGGAAGTTCTGAAGTTGGAAGTTCAATATGACCAAAATGGAATTGGACACAAGAATTATCTTTTTTCAATCAATCTTTTGCGCTCCAATTCAAATTGGAAATATATAATATGAACTAGGGGCTAACTTAAAGGGGCAGTATGTAAAATTGTCATTATCAGAAATTATAATTATATTCGGAAATATACAGTAGTTAAAACTTTTAATTTAAGGGACACATTTCACTAGATTTTGGTGTAAGCTTATAGTTACCATAAATTTGAGAAAAATTTCAACCTAGAAAAAAACCAGAATCCCCCTTTAATTATGGTCTTTCACCCAATTAGCTAATACATACAATCTTATGTTTGCACTGTTTCTTATGTTTATACCTGCTTTCACTCTGCTATTGTGTATTTCAGTGTAATAATGGAGGATGTCTTATAGAACTGGCTCAACAACTAGCTGTTATTATGATTGGTAAACAAATGATTAACAACATTCAAGAAATTGTTGTTCCGTAAGTCATCATTTATGATTTTTTCTGTTTACAGCAAATCTGTAAAACTTTTATAGCTAGATATTTGATTAAATCAAATGCTGAGCATTATACGTCAGTAGACTGAAGGTCATGCTACAGGGGTAAACCTTGTCAAAATTAGCATTCTTTGTAATTGGATATCTTGCATCCTTATAAGATTTGTACTTCTAACCCATGGTCTTACATGTCCAATGTAGCAGGTAAAGCTGCTTTATTCAAGGTCTATCATTTGGTTTAATGAGATTTTTTATATTTCAGGAAAGCCAAAGCAATATGGCATCGATTCCGTGTGAAAATAGATAAAAGTGTTCCAAGAATGAGATGGGAAGAAGATTTTGAATTGATAGAAAATGAAGGATTGTTTCAAGAATATTTAGAAATGGGTGAGATTGAAATATTTCTATAGCTATTCCATGGTCAGCAACTCTACAGACTGTACATGAAAATTACAGTTTCTTTGACAAAAACTTTTGTTATTGTTGTGTACTGTCTAACCAGTCAAGGGCTACCTCTACCATAGTGTCTTGTCCTTTGATATCTCTTGAGGGTGCAGTGCCTCAGTGAGATAAGATGCCTGCTTGGTCCATGATCATAGCAAAGGCCTAAGGTATTAACCTTGTGATTATTTTCCACCTGGTATCCCCTGTCAATGTTTCATGTAGAGGTAGGGCTGAAGTTCAAAGAGCATTTTATCATTTGGATCAGAAACAAACATTGGACACAATCAGGATCAGAAAGGTACCATTGGCTGTGACTGAGTAAGTCTAGAGAAACACATCAATTGTTGCCTACAACTGTTCCATACGCTGTGTCTATCTTGCAAGGGTTTTCTTTAAACAAACAAACACTAACTAATCAATACCAAATAACTTCTTTTTCAGTTTTACAGTTTGGTTTTATAACCATATTTGTAGCAGCCTTCCCCCTAGCCCCATTATTTGCGTTGTTAAATAACTGGATAGAAATAAGACTGGATGCTAATAAATTTGTGAGTGAAACTCGACGTCCAGTGGCTGAGAGAGCTAAAAATATTGGTGTATGGTATACTATATTAGATGCACTGGCTCAGTTGGCTGTCATTAGCAATGTAAGTGATAAAAGTTTGATAATGAATTTAAGAATATCAATTGTCATGGTGAATCTCAATTCAATGATAGTGCCGCTATAATATGAAGCTGGTCTAAGCAATAAAAAAATATTGGCACAGTTTTCCATGCGTGGAGCATGATTGAGGTCGTGGTGCAGGTAACACCAAATGTTGTTGTTTGTAGAAAGTTGAGGACAATTTGTGGAGCATGCTGTGACTTCAATCACATGATCCACATCCTCTCATATATAATATTTACTGAATTATATTAAGGTTGAAAACACTTACCCCTTGATGTATTATTCTACTGTGTGGGGGCACAAGGACATGGTAGAATATCTGGTAATGTATCATGGACTCATCATTGTTTCAGCTTTATATAGATACCCAAAGTTATGCAAAGTTTGTCATGGTGAAAATTCTTAAAAACTAGTGATCCAAAATGGGTTGAATTAAGACATTTGATGTCTGACCCTTCCAATGTCTGGATTGATGTATCATGTCACCACAGATAACAATTCTAAACTTCTACTTCTAATACCCAATGTGATATTGATAGTTTTTTTTTTGTTACAGGCGTTTTTAATTGCATTTACATCCGAGTTTTTACCCAGGTTATTATACCAATATGAATATGACTGGGATTTGAAAGGTTATACTAATTTTACACTAGCCACTGCCCCTAATGGTACTCTCTCACAGGAATGCAGGTAAAAACTAGTTTTGATAAATTTGTTATTCCATAACCAGAAAATGGAAGAACTGATAATTTTAGTAGGAAATTTGACTATGGGTACATAGTTTTGTTTATTTATTGATATAATTACATGCATCTTTAGTCTTGACTAAGAAATATTGATTGATATATTATATTGTGTTTTAGATATCGAGATTTCCGAGATGAGAAAGGTGAACATACTATATTTTACTGGAGATTAATGGCTATCAGATTGGGTTTTGTTATTATATTTGAGGTATGTTAGAAACTAATTCCTGTGCTTTGAGCTTTTATCTCTTTTGTTCTATAGCCTTTGGTAGCTTTACCTTGAACCATGCTGCATATTCTAAAAAGGATTCTAGTACTTGGATGTCCCAGGGTCCTAACTTCTAAGACTGTTTCTGAGATATCCTAGCGATAAGAATTCGGCTTTGAAAATATGTGGCTAGGTTCATTGGTTATAACATGAAATAAATGTACCAAATAAATAAATATATGAACTCTTTGAAAAAGATGCTGAGTTGACAAATCTAGTCTAGTGGCAGCAGGTGTCCTAGAAAGGTGGTGATGCTGCACTCTTCATAGTACTTATATTAGACTATTGTCTATTACAGCATGTAGTATTTGGTGTGTGTAGATTGATAGATGTATTAGTACCAGATGTACCAGGAACATTGGAATTAAAGATAAAACGAGAACGTTACCTAGCTAAACAAGCTCTAGCTGATACTGAGACAATGTTACTGGTATGTATGGTCTTATTTACCCCATTGAACACTGAGTGTACATGAAATTTAACATCATATACCCTGAACTCCAAGTAATATAAGTTAAATCATATGACGTTAACATCACTTAGTAACTGCTGAGTTGCCTGTTGCTCGGGTGACTGGTAAATCAGCCACTAGGTTTAAAAAGGTTGACACTTTCATAATTTATTAAGTGCGTAAATCTTATGAATGACTTGTGATAAGTTTCGATATTATATTTTTTCTTGAACATCCAGGTGTGTTTCTGTTACTCATTAAAGACAAAATAATAACCTGAATGTTTAATCTTTTTTGTATTGAGCAATAGTAGAAACTTGTTTTGGACTGAACTATCATGTTTAAATTCAACATGCTAGTCAGGGATTAATTAATCTTACTCACAACAAATTCTCATCTCAAGGTATTTTGAGGAACTGCACACAGAATAATAAAATGATAAGTATTGAATTAAAAGAAGATACCTTTAATAAATTAAGTAATTAACAGAATTATTTTGACAGTTTTATTGAATATATGAAAATGAATAACATTATGCCACTATGATTAAAACATGCTATAATTTATTTCAAGGATCATGAAAGCATGTATCAAGAGGTGAATAAATTTGTAGATTTTTGTTGAAAATTCTTAGTTTATTGTTAATTATTTAGCATTTTTGAAATAGATTACAAAGTTTGCTTCGATGATTGAATTCTTTTATATTTGAATTTTGACCAGAAAGTTTTTCAGAATTTGTCCCAAAATATTTAGTTTTGTTGATTATATGTTAAATGCTATTTTAGATGTTTGATGAATTCGCTGATAATGCTAACAGTGAGGAACAGGTGAACTTAACATCTTCAAATACAAGTTTCAGATTAACCCATTTAACACCATTTCTCAGTCTAATATTTAAAATTTAAATAACCCTAATATTTTCATCAATTTAACAGCCTTTCTAGATATAGTTCCTTCAGTTATTTATATTTCAGATCAATCACGTTTTTCTTTGAAATTTTAACAGCTTTAAAATGCACATATTTTTAACCAGAACAAGGCTTGCACAATCTTCCAGTTTTGATTTTTATTTCACAATTTTCAGTTACAGAATTTTGAGGACACATGATGATTTTATTAAAATTTTATTCTTTGAGGTTTAATACTGAAAGTCAGGTTAGTTACAATCTGATTAAAAATAGATAGCTATTTCCTCCTTTTTTTCTGATATTCTTTGTCTCTTTTGTAATATAACAAGTTTTCTTCTGCTATCCTGTTCTGATGATGTTATTTTAAACTTATCAAAGGATGTCATGTAGACCAGTTTCTTATAACAATAATGAATTGTTGGATTGTGATACCCAAAGTAGAACAATATGATAGCCAAGTTGCATACGATTTGGCTTGTAAAAATGATTCTGATTGGCAGGAGGTTGGCAAGCGCTGCATAATGCAGAAAGCAACTGCAGTAGAAAGCTTGTTAGATTAAAATGAAGATGAAAAATATCAGAAAAAAAAGAAATAGTAATCTAATCGAGTAATTAGATTGGGTTAGAGAAGATAATCTGCTTAAAAAATTCAATCCAGCTTAAATATACCCACTCCCATTAATTACAGTTAGACATTTAGCATATTATTATTTAACATATTTTACAGTGGGATTTTGATGGAGAAAAGCAGTAGGTAGTAACAGGTTCAACTTACTATATAAAACAAAGGGATCATGTACGCTAATTACATCTTAAGGGTGTTTCCGAACTTGTTATTTTGTGTTGCGTTTGAATTAAACATTGAAATAGCATGTCTGTTCTTTTAAAGATATTTTGATATCTTTTAACACTCATTATATTTGTTTGTTTAATACTAACGATTACTTTCATTTCAAACAGCTTATCTTATATTGTAGGAAATGAAAGGGGGTGGGGCTTAATTCTGATTCTGATATCTGGATTTATAATGTTGAGGAAATTAAGGGTTATTATTGAATAGGGATTATCTACAAGAATAATTTTCTTAATAATCTGAACATAATCTTATTAATATTATCTAATAGTCTTTCCCTTTTAAGTTCTGCTCTTTGATATTTTTTTTTACGCATTTTTTATTCTTTTTACTTCCAGTTTTATTGTGATGCTTATAGACCTTATTCTTGCCTTGTTTTGAACACATTGAATGTGATGCTCATAACAATTTACGTCATCTATTGATAAGATAGTGACGACATAATGAAGGAATAGCCTATGTGATGTCATAAAACAATCGATAATTGCCCTTTCTCAGGAATGTGTGAAGATAAACTTCATCTGAAAGTATCATTAAATAGCTTAACCAATGCAGATTTGAATGATATCAAATTTCATAAGGTTTGAGCTAGGTGTTGGTGATTTTATGCAGTAACACAACATTGCGTTATGAGTCTCTTTCTGGATTCAATATGGCTGATGCATGAATAAGGTCTATTGTGGATGATTACCTTTCTGAAACGCCTGTCATTTATAGTTCATATAACTTATTACGGTTTTTTTTTTGTATATGCAGTTTTGGTAGAAAATTTAGTTGCCTTAGATTATATAATTTTTTTGTCATGTCATTTTTTTGTCTTGTAAAAGTAAATCACTGTAGTTATATATGTATCTTTATTTCATGTAATACACGTTAATTCAGTTTAAAACATACAAGATACTTCAATTTGTAGATTTCTTCATTTTAATTTTTTAATTTTATTTTTTAGTTAAACAAGGAAGAAGAATTTGAAGAGGGAGAAGTTGGTGGAGTAAATGCAGCAGAAGGGCCATAACTCTTATTAATGGTTCAAATTCTGTGACATAATGACTTAAGGCCAGACTCCTTTTGTCTACTATGTGCATCATGCATAATCCAGCCAATGACTGTTGGGAAAGACCTTTTTTGGGAATACCCTGATGTCATTTGACTATTTTAAGATCGGTACTGCATCATTCAATGTTTCCACTAATCCATGGTACGTAAAGATTTTTGCGTATGTGCAATGCAGTTAAATGTAGCTGGTTTAACTGAAAATAGAAGGAACTACACTAGGACAAAAGGAGTCTGGGTCTAAGTTTAACAAATTTATATTTGTCTTTCATGTCAAGATATTGATAGTTATTCAGCTTCTGATATAAATCTGAAGAAATACTGAAAAATACATTCCAAAATACAATGTTTATTTTTCTTCTTATAATATTGCAGATTCTTGATTTCTGAACTAAATTTATTAATTTGTCAATGAGGCCATTAATAACGTCTGCTTTCTTCAGTATATAAAGGAATTGATATTTGATTAGTATATTATGAATAGATTTTGGTTGTGACATTGTAAATTAAAATACAACTATTTATTTCTATTATTATTTTTTATTCTACCTCTTATAGATTAAATTTTCTTTTTCTACCAAATTCACTATTGTTTGTTCAAGATATTCTACATGTATATTTTAAAGCTAGTCGTGTATTATCTAACACCAAATTTTTCTTTTCTTTCAATTTCCATTACATTAGCAGGGCCTTTCTAGCTGTTTATTAACCTGCTTTTGTGGGCCCATTTTTACTTTTTGGTCGTCTTTTTCTTTGTTTGGAAAGTGTTCTATCCTAAGAAAATATGCAAAACTTTAAAGGTACACTACCTTAGGAAGATCAAAAAATTAAAATTTTGAAACTTGGCCAATATGAGTCTTTGATCATCACTGGACTTACCTGGTGTCAAAACTATACGACATATAATCAAATAAATCCATAAAGTAATAATTCATTAAACTAAGTAATTTTGAAACATACTTAGTAGCATTTTTACATAATTATTTAGTTTAATGGATATATCATCTTAAATAGAGATTCTATTCTTTAGTCATGACATCTGGTAAGTTCAACTGATGATGAATATATACTCTTAAGTTTGAGACTTTTATTTTCTGTCCATTCTAAGAGGTAGGATACCTTTAAATATATGCACTGTAATATATCTGGAACTACAGAGAGATATATGAAAGTTATGTTCAGTTTCTATCAGAAAAAAAAACTTAAATTTCAATATAAATTGTTTATGTTAAATCTCTACTATATTTGTTATAATATTTGTTTATTTGTTATTAGTTAATTGTTTGTAAATAGGTAAATTTTAGATATATTAAGGCAAAGGTATCTTAATTTTACAATTGTTGCTTTTCACTTAACTCTAGCAATATCTAGCACATTTTACAAGAATAATTTTTTAGAATAATTCTTCCTACAAATTTCTTTGAAGGATAGGGCAATTTATGAATGGTTTCGTTTCATTTTTTTTTTTTTACAGCGGACGTCATTTGCCATACATGATCCGACAAAATATTTTCCACATCTGTTGTTCTGGATTAATTAATATTCAAGCAATCAAATGCTCTGTTCTATAAAAGATTTCCTTACTACCAGTATATAATAGTCTTACCACTTTTAACAGTGTTTTTAATTTGTTTGCATAAATTATAACAACTTTTGTTGCTATTAGGTCAAATTGTAACAGAACACAATTTGCAAGAAGAATGTTGTCAGATCATTGATGTCAAATATAAAAACTTGTTAAAAATCCCACCAAACCAAACATTCAGATCTGCACTCAGATTGGACACTACACTATATAAACAACTTCTATATGAATGGAATAATCTAATGCTTAATATTTATAAACTTTTGTATTTTTCTTTAAAGGGACAAGATTGCCATCTGTCGTTTTAAGTATTAATATGATTTTAGTCTCCTGTTGTTCATTTTAATGTTTTACTGTTAAGGCACAGTTTTTTTTTTTAATAAAGGAAAATGTTTAAAAACACTGAAGATATAAGAGTGCTATCCTATTTTTCTATTAAATCTGCTAAATTCTCTATGTGAAATCTGTAATCCATTTATTGTTAGTGTGAAAATATAAGCTTTGTAACATTTGCTTTAAATTGATTGTCCTTGCCTCCAATTCTATTCTGAATTATTTGTGACACCAAGAAAAGGTAATAGAAAAGATCATGGTTGAAAAAATATAATTATAATGAACTGTAGTGGAACATTCAAACTTAGTTCTGGCAGAATCTCTCTCTCATTGCATTGTCTGTTAAGCCTGATAAGGCATTGAAAAATATAATGTAAAACTTTATTTGAGAATTATCCTGCAAATTCTTTATGTTAAAAGTTTTTATCTCAGTTTTTGAGCTCAATTGGTGTATACCTCTTTTCTCTGGCGGGTTGGCTTTACAATTTCATACAGATATTGCAACTTATGGGTAAACAGCATAATGAATGGACCCTATAAAAGAATTTATTAATAATGAAATCTTGTTATTATTTATAATTTTTATCATGTTATTTAATATTATAATGTATATTTATTGTTAACTGATACACTACTTGTTATATACTTATCTTGCTCAACAACAAACAGATAATTTTGGTTTAAATTTTAGGGGATTTTAAAGAAGGTTTTCCAACAGTGCTATCATTGATCAGTTCCCCAATACACATAAAAAAGTTTAAAAAACCTCTTTACAATCCTTTAATTGATCTTTATGCATACCCTAACTTACCATGGATACCCACCCATCTGCTTACCTTGTTGTTGTAGAAAAATTAATTTTGTGTTGTGTCTGTAGGACTCTGTGAAAGCTTAAATGCTTTGTTGTCATTGATTTTGTGAAAAAGTTAAAGCAATTTGTATCATTCCAATATTCAATCAGACGTATGTGGTTCCTGTAACTCTTTACTACCCCTTTACGGTTAAACCAAAATTATCTGTTTCATTATAAACTGTGCTTTCAATGACATTTTTAATTGCTGAACATGAAAATCGATAAACAGAAGTACAATAAAAATGTTGCATGCTGTATGAAGCAGTAAAAAAATTTCATCAGTTTCCATACTGAACTTAATTGTTTCTTTTATTTTTGCACATTTTAAGTATTTTATAAGAATACAAAGATTAAATGGTGCTGGTATGAATTAGTTGTAATACTGGTGATGAAATAAAGAATTTTTCTTCCCCATTATGACTTTTTCGTGTGGCAACAGACCACAGTTTAGGTATAATTGACTTCATTCTTTGGAGTTATCTCCCTGTAAATGTGTCTGATCAACTGCACATTGCCTGATTCATTTCAAAGGAGATCATTCGTTGATTTATGAATGTAAGTATAGTTCTGTGATGTAAGGGAAATGGCGCTAAATTACAGACATAAAGCATTCCTGAACAATAAATAAACAAGTAATAACGATCTAGATCGCTAAGTTAATACGAAAGCTCCAAATTCTAGCCAGAAATGCCACCTTTAGAGCCATTAAATGGGTGGTCATAAAGCTTACTTGTCGATCCACACAATACTAAGCAAATTCATGAGCATTGAAGGGCGCTCTTCTGATGTGTTGCCTGTATGACTATACTTGATTTATACAGATAATAACTGTTTTATTAAGATAACAGATACATTCAGTGACTGTACTTATATATAATACTATAATAATTTGAAATCTGGGATCAAAACTTTTCGGCTTGTGTCGTGACATACTTTATTAAAATGACGAATTCTTGTAAAGGTCACGAGTTCTAAATTCCCCAAAATACAAAAATAAAGGGAGGGGGATACGCATTATTATCGTGATGTGATATTAAAATAATGCTCCCCAAGCCCGCCCCCTTATGACCATCTTACTAGTGCTACTTTTAAAATAATCTTTTGTCAGAGGTCGTATATGAATACATAACTTCGATAATTCTATATTTCGCTATGCGTCTATTTACAAGTCATTACTATACACGTGGTGAATTAAATATAGTAACAATATCTGACGTCATATTGATAACTGTATAGTATATAAAACAAAATCACTGTTATACTATAAAAGATTCTTATCCATATAGGCTAAAGTATATCATTCAATATTGGGTTACATTTGATTGCAATTTATCAGCGATAAAATGAAGGTAAAACTTTTCATTATATTTTTCCTTAACCTATGTTGGTAATTAATAGATCCAAGAAGGCTAAAAATGGCTAAGAAAATCGTTAGCCTTGGGGCTGCAACGATGAATCGATCCTTCTTATCGATGCAATTGCGTTGGATAAAACAATCGCGATGAATCGGCTTAATTGTTTTAATAACGAATGACACAGAATCCACCTGTATGTAAGAAATTGTGTCATGATTTGATTTTTAAGTATAATCTTCAGATCAAAATTTGTAAGAAAAAAAATCATTTCTGAATTCAAAAATTGAACGAGCCTATAATATAAGCCTATCGCTAACTGCCCCGAATCGCAACTTCAAGAATCGTTGCAGTCCTATTTAACCTTTAATCTATTTAATTTAGTTTTGGGTGGCATCTCCGCGCCTGTGTTGATGCCTCTGGTGGAAGAGATTACAAATTGAATTATTCTGGACAAGTACATTCTAAATTGAATTATGTGAACATTACTTGGTCCCCTCGCATAATGATTCATAGAACTGCCACTGATTCCATCATCAAAATTAAAATCTCGTCTCTATTATTTCAGACAACTAAGAATTTGATGACTGAAAAAAACTTTGAAGATTTAAAAGAAAAGGGATATACAGTTGTTAAAAATGTTGTAGATGAATCAGATTGTGATGTCTACATCCAGCAATATAAAGATTGGCTTAAGCAATTTAAAAACGGCGCGTGGCCAGTCAACATGCATTCCTGTATACAAAAATACAGGATCGCGCACATGGAACCTTCCTGGAATGTCAGATTAAAATCTAAGAAAGTTTTTGAAGAAATTTGGAAAACTGATCAACTCTTGTCCAGTTATGATTCTGTTGCCATCGCCTGCCCTCCAGATTATCTCGACACCCCAAACAATTTGTATGCAAACACTTCTGTTGCGTCTTCAGGCTGGTTACACTGTGATCAGACATATCTTCGAGAGGGCTTGCATGGTTATCAAGGTGCAGTATATCTAGAAGAAACCAGCGAAAAGGACTGGACTCTAGAAGTTCTTGAAGGATCTCATAAATTATTTGAGGAGTTTTTCGAATATTCGGATAATGCCAGAATCCGAAGCATTTTAAACCATGTGTACCAAGTGAAACCCAGTGATCGAGAATGGTTTCGTCGAAAAGGGTGCATCAGGAAAACTATTGCAGTGCCAAAGGGCGGTATGGTACTATGGGATTCTAGGCTCATCCATGCCAATTCACGGCCAAAAGAGAATCGCCCTGTCAAAGACCGTTGGCGATTTTGTGTTATGGTCTGCATGGCTCCTAAAGTTTGGGCCACTGACGAAACTCTCGAAGTAAAAAAGACAATCTACAGAGATATGCTGATGACAACCCATTGGCCCTGTGATGACGTGGGCTTCGCGAAACATATGCTCCATGGTTCAGACAAGGAAAATGCTCCTCCTATACTAAAAGAGATGCCTTCCATCGCAAAAACCGATGAAGCAAAGAGACTAGCTGGAGTTCTTCCATATCCAAATGAGAAAACAGCTCCATGTGAACTACCGGCCCCAAAATGGCGGATGTTGGCATCAAAGCAAATTCAGAGCCCAGATTCATTTTATTTCGACTTTAAACAACTTTTCAAGCTGTTATCTTACTTAGCCATCATTGTTGCCATTATTGCTGGATTTTTTCTATAGGCCTACAAATCGGGCTTATGAACTATGAAAGTAGGCTACAGAAAGTACTGTGAGTGGACACAATAATTAGTCTCTTTGCCTTCATTCAGGAATCTTGTTTGTTTGTAGTTATAATTATTGATTATTGTTTACTATTAAAATTTATTTTTGTTGAAATGAAATCTGTATCTCATTATTTTTATTTTGGCTACCGGTAAGCCTACTATTATAAATATGTTTATTGAATGTTGCAGTAGATCTGAAAGAGAAGCCTCATGAAAATCTTGAATTGAAAGCATACTTAAGCCTTTACATTCAACTTAACAGATTTAAGTGCTTAAAGTTTGTTATAGTATTCTTTGCTACAAGTTTGAATTAATCTCCAATTTAGCAATCAATGAGATTAATTAAATATTATACGAGCCCCTGTGGTGCCCTGTGATTTAGTCCACCAAAGAGAAGGTGCGACGTGGCGTAGTCGGGATCAGTAAGACATTATAGTCTAGTGTGGTTTCACTTTCAACCACGAGACTGGATAAGCCATACTACATAGACAAGATGGACGCTACACGTTTAGCCGGCTTCATTGCCCTGATGTTTTTGGGTGTTTATGCTCAATCAGGCAAACGGACTTTAATTTTGGTAGATAACTGGTCCATCAGAGAAACACACTCGACATTCTTCAGATCTCTACGAGGTAATATAGCGTCGATTTTATGCAAAATGTCCCTTTTTATTTCCCTAATGCACCAAACAAGGGGCATAACTCGTCAAAAATGTTTAGCATTGATTGTAATAATTGTATTCTTGAATACCTGATGTCAGTGTGCGACTGAATCAATCAAAATGGCACTAATATATAAAATACCATAGATATGCTATTCTGTAGCTGGATTGTCATCTTTGCAAACCTTTTAGTTTTAGAGTTGGAGAAGCTGCATAGATCTAACAATATAGCAATAAACATAGATAATATGACAAAAAATGTTCACTTTTTTATATTTGTAAGATATGGTTATTGCCTGCTATAGACATGTTATAAGGCCTATTTATTTGACATATTCCCAGGATCTTTAAATGTTAAATATTGTATTATAATATTAATGTATTGAACAATTTTTTCTCCTTCTCTTTCAGACCAAGGTTTTGATTTAACATTTAAAACAGCTGATGATGGTAATTTAGCTCTGGTTAAATTTGGTGAATTTTTATATGAAAATCTGGTTATTTTCTCGCCTTCTGTAGAAGGTAAGCTTTTTATAAAACATTTTTAAAAGATGGAAGGATCAGCTGGTAGACAGAATCCACATGAACCAAAGTTGAAGTTGTTACATCCTTGTAAACAAAATGGTGGTTTATTTCTTTCTAATCAAAAAACTGAAAGTGCTTGCCATCCTAGAAGTTTGTATGATTAAAGAAGTAATGCAATGTTTCATTTTGGAATTGTATCAATGCTGCTAAAAAAAAGTCATGTTACCAAATAGCAGTAGAAGTTGCCATTGTTGGATTTTAAAATTTTATTTGAATGTTTTACATTTTAGATTTCGGTGGAAACGTAGATGTAGCAGCAATTACTAACTTTATTGATGGGGGAGGAAATGTTTTGGTTGCTGGCAGTTCTTCACTTGGTAAGAACAACTTTTTTCATGGAATGAATTCAAAGTTCAAATGAATTCACAATGCAACACTTCTACCGACGGAGCATGAACTAAATAATAAAGTACAATGAGGACTAAAGTAACATCTACTAAAAACCAAAATCTTCATTGCACATGTCAGAATTCTTTAAAGATTGGAAGGTTCAATATTTTCTCTAGATTTTCTATTATATTGGTTAATAATATCAACTCTGGTACATGTTTTGAAATAGACCTGTATTTTTAGGTGATCCTATTAGAGAATTAGCTACAGAATGTGGTGTTGAGTTCGATGAAGAAAATACAGCTGTCATTGATCATCTTCATTATGATTTTAATGATGAGGGAAAGGTAGGTTCACTCACTATTACTTTTTGTGTGCGTTCTCTGGTCAGAAAATTAAGGATGAGGTCTACATATTTACAACAGAACAAGGGCTATTGTACTTATGATTAAAAATATATTGTTCATCTCTACCGCTACAACTCCATTGGAGATTTTTGTCACTTACAATTTTCTGGTTTCTGGTTTTGAGGAATCTTTATTTTATTTCAGCATACTTTAATTGTGTCGGAAACAGAGAATCTATTAGATGCACCAATGATAGTTGGACAGAAACCTTCTGCACCTTTTCTCTTTAGAGGTGTGGGGTAAGTTCATCTAAGAATTCTTTTTCAGTTGAAGACATACATTGTGTCACATTTGGTATTCAATACTTAGTTAGATAGATGTGTTTTCCTCTTTTTTCAATATGGACATGGTTTCGAAGTCATTAGTTATCTAATTTATATTCAATATTTATTTTAACAGTATGGTAGCTGATCCTGACAATCCTCTTGTTATGGGGGTTCTTCATGCTTCATCTACATCCTACTCTTATAATCCTGATGAAAAAATTTCAGAGGTAAGTTGGCACCATCCTTGCAATAAGAACTTGATATATTCTAGTCTGACACACCTGACTTTAGTCCAGCTCCTGATAGATATTTTAACAGTTATCAGCGGGAGAAGAGTCAGAAAAACTAGGCCCCTTTTTATGGGGATTATTCAAACCATCTGAAGAAGTATAGTAAAAAAGTTGACTATTATTGCTACATACTATTTTTGTTCTGGTCTCAACTTATTGATGTTCTGAGAATTTATGTAATTTCTTTCTACTTGTAGTTCCCCCATGCTGTAGGAAAGAATACCCTATTGATCAGTGCTCTACAAGCCAGAAATAATGCCAGAGTTGTATTTGTTGGTTCTATTGATTTCTTCAGTGATCAATTTATGCAAGCCTCTGTACAGAATGCTCTAAATGGAAAGAAGTAAGTTCTATTTTATGTATTGCTCTATGTATTCTAGTCTTGAATGTGAGCAACTTCTGACTGCGGTACAGGCATCAGAAATTTTCTTAACTTGAGGAGTATTTAAACCCACAGCACCTACAAATCGGATTGCAGGCAACATTCCAACTAGCTACCAACTGAGTCAGGTATCAATGTATTGTTTGCTTTTGTAAATATTAGGCTAAATTGAAATGACATGAGCCTACTCTAAACTAAAGGCAAGCATGAATTATTAATTAATAGCGGAAATTATAGTAAATGTCAAATTTTTAAATTCTTAAACTATATGCGAATGGAATCTTGACTGAATGAGTATTACTTGGATTATTTTAGATATGAAAAATCTGGTAATCAAGACCTAGCTTACAGTCTATCACAGTGGGTATTTAAACAGAAAGGTGTATTACGAGTTGGAGAGGTCAAACATCATTTAAAAGGAGAGAAAACACCACCAGCAGCCTACACTGTCCTCGATCAAGTTGTAAGTACGCTGATGTTATGAAGCCTTTTCATAATGAAAATCATAGTTATCTGTGAGTTGGCATTATTTAAAAACAAACCCTAATAAGGCTTATATGTCCATTAGTGTGATCAATTGAAGTGTGGCCCAGTAATGATTTTCAAGTCAATGACACCAGTATATGACAGGGTGAACTTGATATTTTGATATGATCATTGAAGATTTATTATGTTAAGGAAATCTTAATTACATGTATAAATAAAGAATTGAATTAGGATGTAATATTCAATATCATTCTTTTAACTCAACTCATGTTCATTACATGAATGAATTTACCTGTTTGTAGGAATACAGTATCCAGATAGATGAATATAGTAATGGTGAATGGAAACCATTCCAAGGAAAAGATGTTCAGTTAGAATTTGTCAGAATTGATCCTTTTGTAAGAACTACTCTCAAACAAAAAAGTAAGAATTGTTTGGAAAATCTTTATTCAGTAGTTTAATACAGAGGAATAGAAATTAAAACTCGTAGAATATTAGACAATATCTTTTGTTAAAAAAATAATCAGTATGTTCTCTCTTTCTATTAGTTGTCTATGTAAATGAATTAGATATATAATATTGTATTTGTATTTTAGATGGTCTATTACATGTAAGTTTTAAACTACCTGATGTCTATGGTGTTTATCAGTTCAGAGTTGACTACAATAGAATTGGTTATACCAGACTCTTCAGCACTACACAGGTAAGAATTTAACTTTTTCATTTATTGATAAATGATGCAGTCATAAAGTCTTTAAATACAGAGTACAGTACAGTTTGTGCCTGAAGATGACAGAGGAGAGGTGTTGAAATGTTGCATAAAACTTTAGCCAATGACAGTTGTTGCTTTAGGCTGTGTCTATATAATATTACAATCTTTACTGGCTTCTAAAAAGTGTAAGAAGATATTAAATTGACAAGAGCCTTGTGTTAATAGATAGGTGATTTTGCTACAAATCTGGTAGTCATGTTGAGGGTAGCTTAGTTATCATTGATGTATTTTACATATTCCCTGATTTGAAATTGAATTGAAATTTTTTGTTTCCAATATCTAATGCTTTTCTTTATCCATCTTAATTTTTCAATTTCTGTTTTTCAGGTGTCTGTACATCCATTAAAACATACCCAATATGAGCGGTTTATCCCCTCAGCTTACCCATACTATATCAGTTGTTTCTCTATGATGTTTGGTGTTGTTATATTTAGTATAGTCTTTTTACATTATAAAGAAGATACCAAGGATAAAAAGGAATAATCTTTTAAAACTTTAATTCATTTTCATTCCTTTTATACTAGACTTTATTATGTCAATTTTTTCATCAAAAGATATATGGAAACACACTTTTTGAGATTAAAACTATAAAATAATTATATTGCTTAAAATATTAGGATGCTCAATCCCAAAAATCACCAGTTTGTGGTGTTTTTCTGTCTTGGTAAAACTTCCAGAGAAGCATGGGTTGAAATGTGTGTCAGATTGCCTCTATGGGCTCTCAATATGTTGGGTATAATTCTGTGTTATTGACAGGTTTGAATCAAAAACTAATTGCAACTATCAAATCTTCATCTGTATGACTGTATACTATCATGCTAAACCTAAAATAAAGATATGAGTTGTTAAATGTGTTTCTGTTGTTTTTAAAATCACTTGCAAATGCATTTTGGTTGACTTTTTGATGTTGATTTGAGCTGTTAAATAAACATCTGTATGGACAGGTCACTTGTCTTGGTTTCAGGACATACAATTGGTCGTAAAGTGACCTGTTAAGGGACATAACAAAGACTTCCTCGTCACTTGTGAAAGGTTCATGGTCTGCTGCTAATGTTTCTGCACTTCAGCTATACATTTCATCTTGTGACTCATGGTTTTCAAAGGGTTTGGGTTAAATTTTCATTTCAACCTACATATGATGAATTGAAACTGTGGGTTAGTATCTCTTTTGTGGAGAAGTGTACTTAGGCTAGCCTTATTTGTAAGAATCACAGAGGGAGTATGTAAGACAGGAGAAAGGAAGTATTCAAACAGCTGTGGTCTTTAATATTTTAGTAAAATCGAGTTATCTCCCTTGCATTATCTTTGGATAATGAAACCAAACTGTTGTATGTTGTACCAGCTTAATGACACTACCCAATTTGGTAGGGCTGTCTCTGTACGATCTGAATATGCACACCAGACAACTGAAAAAGGTTTGTTTCGATGTCCTGAATACATTCTATACAAAAAAATATCAATTGGGGGACACTTTGAAGGTCGTTTCAAGGATGAATTAGTAACATTTCGAGTTTCTCTTAATAATCCATTGGTTATGACATTCCCGGTTTAATTTCTAAATGCTTAAATATATCCATACGATTAGGAAAAACTTGCTGTCTGATGCATTAAAAATTTTTAACAGTTTGGTCAATATGTGTGATATTGACTCTTTCCAATATTGGTTTAAGTTTAAAGGGATTGTAAAAATGTTTTCTAAATATTTTATGTGTATCGGGGACAATGATAGCATCAATTTGCACCATTCCAATTTTCAATCAGAGCTCTGTGATTCTTTCAATTCTACTAAAACTATGTGATAGATGTCACGATCACGAGTGGCCTTATATGACAAAGCATATTTTTATTAACATTAAAATTAAGTGGAATAGCAGGAACCACAGACTTCTGAACCAACACTGGAATGGTGCAAATTCATGCAGTCTGTGTCACTGATACAAAACTTCTTTACAATCCCTTTAAATAGTGTTTCTCGTATCTAGGTAGAAGAACAATAATATCAGTTACAGAACAATGTTTTAATCAATTGTTTTATTTTCTATGGTCTATTGAAAACATTGTTAGTGACACAATACTGATAGAATCCCAGGGAGTCCTATATAACAATGGATTTCTGTGAAAATAGTTATAAAGACGATTAAAAAAACTGTATCAATCTTTCATAAATTTCATTTCCATTGTATTGTTAATTTCAGCTCTCCTATTCCAATAATCCATTACACTGCTTTAATCCTTAGCCAGTGCTTTCTGTTGAAAAGTAACTTGCTAATTTCAAACCATCATAACCTCTTTGCTGAAGTGTTCTGGGGTAATGCTGTTTTATTGGAAAACTAATGAGAAACAGAAAGTTCCCCATTATCTTCAAAAATTCACCAGTAATGTATTGGTTCATGGTAGATTAGAACCCCTTTCATCAATGAACCAATACATTTCATCTAAGATTGTCTTTGAGTCCTTAGAAATATACGGTTTGGACATTTTTTGTTTTAAGTACACACTCTTTCCTTTAATTGTCACCTACAACTGACACTAATGATGGAAATCCTATGAAACTAGTTTCAAATTATTTGTATCAACTTAGAAAAGGAAATCTGTAACTCTCATTTGTATTTTAGAGTTTAAATCAGATAAAGTCTGTGCTTAAATAGATTCCTATCCTCCCAAAGTTCTAGTAACTCAATCTTGCAGCTGTCTACATGAAAAAGACAAGCTCCCTTTTGATCATGTTTTATTGTATAAAGCCTTTTCAACCATGAGCAATCAATACTGATGATGTAAAAGTTATGGAATCAATCAAAGAACTGAGGAGATGAACTATGTAATCAAGTACAGAATCATTCAACTTGTTTTACAATGTTCTACTTGTTTGGCAGTTAGTCAATAATTTCATAGTAAAGATAGTAGTAGTAATGTGCATGGCATGTGGTTTGATGGAAATGTAAATAGAGTTTAAAAAGTTGATTGCTTTTTACTGAAGATGAATAGAGTTAGCCATTGGAACTTGTTTTAGAAAGAAGTATTTTGTTATCTGGTTGGTATGAGAAGATAATGGAATTGTTTTTGTTTTATATTTTGTATGATAAGATAATGGAATTGTTTTTGTTTTATATTTTGTATGATAAGATAATGGAATTGTTTTTGTTTTATATTTTGTATGATGAGATAATGGAATTGTTTTTGTTTTATATTTTGTATGATAAGATAATCGAATTGTTTTTGTTTTATATTTTGTATGATAAGATAATCGAATTGTTTTTGTTTTATATTTTGTATTAGAAGATAAGGCAATGAAGAGCTTTTAGTAGAAAAAATGCAAAAAGCGAAAAGCAGCAACTACATTTTTCACATAGATTTTCTACCAGCTTTTACCTAACTGGCAGCAAAATAGGACACTCTCTAGATTGGTTCTTACTATCCAACCACAAGACTAAAGTTTCTGAATCAAATTCATTCAATTGTCTTTTTGAAGAATTACGTTCAAAATAATACAGACAGTTTTAGTAGGTTTCTCTCCACCAACTGATTTTCGTTCATTTCTCAGTTGTGATTTCTGGGAGGGTAATGTATCTATTTCAATTCTATGTGTACATTTGGGATTCATTGGATCAACTGGACATTAAAAAAAAAAGTTGGGAACAGTGTTGGAATTGACAGAACCTGTTCAGAACTGTCCAATCAAACACTACCCTAGCTAACTCAAGTTTCCAGCTGAACATTTCAAGTATCATTCTTGGTTTCTTCCCACCAGGAATGAATTATTTGACCTTCAGGGTCAGAGGTTTGACCTTGACAATGATTTAAAAGAGAAGAACAAAGTCAAGACTGATGACTGCCATATTTAGAATCCCATACTCCATACCCTTATACTCCTAACATCTGGTCAATTATCATTCTTTACTTTAACATATTTACAATAAATCTGTGACATTCCTGTTAAAAAAAAAGAAATCCTATATCGTATTTATTAGAATTAAGAGACATGAGGTGCAGTAGGATATAAAACTACATTTGAGAAAATAAGATTGATTTGTTATTGAAATTCTTTTCAAAAAAGAGAGTATATTCAAGTTTGTGTAAACAATATATAAAGGCGTTGGTCAAAAACACAAAATTGGCTCTAATTTTCAATTTTTCTTTGAGTTTTGATAGAATCAAATCTAAATTCTTCTAAATTATTCTCATATGACTTGATATACTTCACTACCATCTACTTAAATTTGAAATTTGTATATTTCAGGTGGCATGCTATTTTTTTATCTCCTGGAATACCTTTAAACAGTCAAAAATGAACATCTCATGCTAGAAGTGACAGTTATAAGTTTTCATAGGCATATTTCACCTAATAGCACCTAAAGATGTAAATTCTAGAACCATTGCACTGTGAAATAATAAATTAAGAGGAAGGATTTGACAGAGTGCCAAGAATAGTAACAGTTTGTAGTTTTTATGTTGTGTAATAAGAGACTGATAGAGGTGCAGTTCTCAGTTATTTCGTGAAAAGTTTTTCGTGCATTCAACTTCTGATACCTTTCTACAGCAGGAATTTCTGTTATGTTCTCATTGTGAAGGTAAGTGGAGAGAGATTATTTTAACATCACTGGCGGCTTAAAATATTTTGGATCCATGTATTACAGAAAGAAATATTTGAAATTGGAATGTTTTTTATCTCACTTTTTCTGCAGACCTACTATGATATCTTTGCACATTTGTTGGTGAACAGAATGTTACTGATTTTTTTGAGTGAACTGGATTATCAGCCAGGTAAAAAGGAACTGAAGGTTTTATAATGTCTTTTCATAAAATATAAACATGGGCACATGGGAAAATTATTTTTACAGAGGACAATTTCATTTATATTTGGCTTTCTTAGATTTTGATTTTGCAAATGAAAAGAGTGAAGACAAGTAAAAAAAAAAGTCAGCTAGCCAAATTGGTACTAATTTGCAGTTATTTTATACATTTGAATGAAAATCTTTGACATAATTCTTGTCAATATCCTGTCCTAATGGACAATTTCTCTTTTAAACTTTTACGTTTCTCTGAGCTATGTAAACATTCAAACTTAAATCCATAAGTAAAAATAATATTACAAATTATAATAATCAGCCCATTTAGATTTTGATATGATTAAACACAGCCTAGAGATACCGCTCAAAACTTGAGTATTAATTTAGATGAATCGCAGCTAATCACCTCGAGGGGGGTGAACCAATCTTACATATAATTACAACAAATTAGGCTGAAACTACCGCTCTTAATTTGATTGGTAGTTAGATAAAATGATTGATATACCACCTAGAAATAACGTTGAATTTAAAAGGAGATATTTGTAAAGATAGAAATTTGAAATATTGAGAGAGAAGTAAATGATGTAGAGATATATAATAGGATTGTTGTCATGGTATTTGCCTCCAGACTGTGAAATGGATCTAAGATGGAGATGATAGAATTATATTAGGACAATATCTCTACTAATACTAATGTACATTAAGATATTTGCGTGATTGAAGTTTAGAAGTTAAAGGTATTTAATTTTTTAGGATGCTTTTTTTACATCATATAGAACTGATATCACAAAGGACTGAAATGAGCAGATGACTTTTACCCTTTTTTCTTATACAGATACCCATTATCAGGAACAATTGCATTAAAGGGTAAATAATACCATGATAGTGTATTACTTAATAAGGTGTTGCATGCAAAAGTAACATTATTTAGCATAATGGGCACATTGATAGAGCCTGATACAAGCAGAAGGTGGCACTTATCAGCAGCAGAGTCTTGGTGAAGCAGGTGCTAATCCTGTTGGTGTTAATAAATCTTGGAGCCCTCTTCATTTTCACCTGAGGCATTT